TCACGAACATTAGGGAAAATAAAACGATCAGTTTTTAATCATTCCGTTTCCATTGTAGTATTTAAAATTATGAAATAAAATAACAATGCTGGTAAACTATCGTCTTCAAATGTACAAGGTGGTCCACGTGACCGGGACAAGTTGTATCTCCTTTCTGGTTGCATTTACAAAAAATGGCAAAAGAAATTGCTGCGATTAAGGGGGTACATAACTTTGGCACCGTGAGAAGAGGGATTTTTTAAAGACTTTATTCCGGAAAAACTACTCGATAAATTGATTTGCATTTTTTTGTATTAAAAAGGAGATACATTGTAGATTATTTTAAACTATTGTTGAAGTTGCAGGTATCCCGAGAGAGTGCTGGCCTAAATTATTGCCCATTGCTTGCTGTGCACGCTATTTCAATTTTAGTTATATCTAGTGTAAATTATTAAAAATTTAATAAAAGATTGAAAATTAATACTTATAACGAAACGTCAATTAAGTTTATAATCTTGTGCTAAATGGGTATAAATGGAAAGCCTATAAATATTGTCAAAATTTAATAATTTCATTGCAAATCGTTTACTTATCCTGTAATATGCAAAAAAAAATGTATGCGGTAGTCTCCTATTCCGAATGACAATTTTAGGAATACAGAAACATGGTAACCCTCGTATAACATGGTCGTAAAACCATGGTATATAGAATTAAAAGTACAAAACAGTAAAAATAAAGTGGTACATTTTGGAATCTAACAATGTATAGTTTTACCGACCGAGTTTGAAAGAAAGTTGATAGGGAAGACGGCCCAAATCAAAAGTTTTCCTTCAATACTATTTTTCATCAGCCATTAAAGGCAATAAAACGCTTAATACGTTCACTGTTTCTACCACTTTCATATTGTAATAGTATTAGTCTGTCGCACAATTATCTTGTTTAATACCAGCGGTGATGTTATGAAATTATACAATTTTCTATATAAAATATTTTTTCGCATTTTCAATAGTTACAGAAATAATAGCGTCTATACACTTAAACCGGACATACTGTACCAATAAAAACAACAATTGTTCAACAAACAGATGAGATTATATAGATTCGTAGAAGAATTTATAGATACAACGGGATACATTAAGAAATTCATCGACGATGAATTTTCTCGTATTATTCGCAACATTTCACGGGAACAATAAGCCAGATGGTACCTCCTGGCGGAGGCCTCTAGGTTCACCCTTCTCATCGAGTACGTATTGAATATTTCATCCGAAAGATCTGTATTTTTCTTCGGGTGATTGTCATTCGAAGAGGTCCAGAAGCGACGGGGTGTGCCGTCGGGCCGGAGGAAAATCAATTATTCTTCCATAGAGCCTTCCATCGGCTGGTACTCGGTTCGCAGTCGGTCTTCAGGCTTCCTTCTTACCGTGAATAACCATTTGTATTTCCAATTAGCTTTGCTAATAAGAAGACGAAGGCATTGCCGTAGTTAAAAAAATGTATAACCTCATCCAGCCACTGGGGAAATAAAGAAAAGCGCCGCTCCGGTATGACAATACCGGCGGGTCGAGCGGGGTTATACCGGCTGAACTACAATTAAAAATCCTCGCTTCACCCTCGCTTAACCCTGCTTCCTCCTTATGCCGTATTAACGACCGGGACGTGCAGGGAGGGGTCACGAAACATCCTACCAAACATCGAGCCTTTTTTTGCCAATTTTATGCTTGACCCCATCTCCATCCCGTTCTTTTCCCTCTCTCTGACCACACCTCAACCCCTTACTCGCCTGCCTGTCTTCCCTCTTCTGTCTTTTATTTTTTACCTCCTCAGCTCGTTTCTTTATTTTGCTTATAGCTATCTCTGTGTGTTCGATTACATTTGCTAGAGTTCAACTTGTTGAAAAAAGAGAGTCGAATAAGTTAAAGTGTTAAGAGGTATGTGGAATGAAGTTGGATGATTCTATGTGGAGAAACAGATTAAAAGTATGCAGTACAGTTTTTCTTATATTGCGCTTCAGTTTTGAGAAAATCGAATTTGAGACTCTCGGATACGCATGATTTTAACTCTTCTGTTGCCCTCGCTTACCTCTCACATTTATATCCCTTCGGATGAAATTATTTCAAATGTGAAAATAATTTATTCTTAAGAAATGCAAAGTACACAAAAAGTTGACGGAGAGTTTGAATACGTTGAATACTAAAAATAAACATTTAAAACATGACACCTATTGAACAACAGGGTTAAATGCAACTTTATAGTTAGTATATAAGTCTATTATTCGGTATTCCTATTTGAAGAAACATAAATGATGACACAATATTCTTGTGTCGCTACTTAAAATAGAGAAAATTCTTGTAGATTGCGAATGGCATCTTAACATTACCACACTTTACAAATATTAATACAAATTGTGGACCGACACACGAACTAAATAGTAATCAAATGCACACGTAGGTACTCTGTAAGTTTATTTAAAAGGAAAGTAGGTACATATGAAAAAGGTTATTGCACGGTTTTGTACGAAAGGTATCAACAGGTCTGAGGAATACCATCCAAACGATTTTACAATGCTAAATTGAGAATAACTTCCGAATAAACATGAATGAACAAACAATATATTCCGTAGATACCAGTCAACTTACATTATACATAACATTATCAACATGTGAGACTGTAAATGAAGACAACTTTATACAGGGGTCTCGCGATTATTGTCCCGAACTCGGGTCCGCGTAGAGACTATAATCGTGGACCACGCGAAACGCTTCTGACCCTCGTAAATACGATTTTTTCCCGAAGCTCGAGTCTCGGCAACTTGTCTTTGTAGTATTCCAAACGTAGAAAAGGACAAGCCAGTGAAAAACAGAGAGAAAGCTTCTTTTCCCACTCGACTCGGCTGCGTGGCCCGTCTGCGACGCTCTCGCCGAACAATGGTTACATTATAGTTGACCAAACTTTTTTATTTTTGATTGGTTGTTAATGAAATTTTTACTAGTATATTAGTAAGATTTTTCTGATTAAAATGATACCAAATATGACATAATTTGGATCATATTTACTCATGCAGAATGTGTTAATAGTTCATATTATGTAGTTCATTATCCATTCTGATAAATCATAAGTAAATATGACCCAAATTGTGTTGTATTTGGTATAATTTTAATTAGAAAAATCTCACCGATATGTTTATCAATGTTTCGTTAATAAAGAACCAAAAATGAAAAAGTTTTATCGTTGCATTAGTATTTTCTCATCGACACCCGAAAATGTAACCTTTTTGTGGGCTCCCAACGTTCAGTCTTCGGCTCGTGAAGGAGAAGCCTTCTCGGCGCGCCGCGGCAACAAAGTATGCGGCTGTCGAGTTCCACGACCTCCCCCTACCCCCCCCCCTCCGCCGCCCTCCAGTGGTGGGGATGACGCCTGGACAATAATCGCATATCAACAAAGAGTCAATAATCGCGAGGGCCATGTATTATCATTCCTTCAACTTGTCTTGAATTTATTTGTTGCTAGATTCTAATACATAACACATATGTAAACTGTTAGTGATCTATTAATTTACAAATTCCTATGATGAAAATTACACTCAACACTCAATTCAATCTCTGGCTTTGAGTCGAATTATCCCGAACAGTTCGCGAGGGTTAAGGTAACGTTATTTAAACGGTTATTCTTCAAAAACTTTAATTACACGTAATTAAAAATAATCTAAGTAATGTCATTGTACTTAATTTATGCTCATTTTCATCGAAAGAATCCAGACAATTTCCGAGGAGTACAACAATTGTATTCCTACGCCGTTCCAAACCGAAAAGTTTTTTAATCCCAAGCAGAGATCAATCAATCATAATATCGCGCAAAAATCGTTTGACACTTTAACGCAATTTTCGTCGTTAATCTTTATGTCAATAACCAAAATTTTCTACGTTGTTCCACAACCGGATACCCCGGATACATCCACGATTTCGCTTTTATATTATCCCAACTCTCTTTTAACCCTCTTACAGCGTACAAAATACTGTTATATGAGATTCGAATAAAAACTAACAACCGAGGACTAAATATGTTCACGACCTGAAATTGATTTATGTAGTCTCTTTCCCATTTCTGAGAGTCACTGTTAAATGCTTCGCAGTCTATTTTTCTAGAGGAGTTTCAGTTTACTGGTTTATGAACACAAAGATCGATCTTCAATCACTCAAATAATGAAGCATTTCTAAGTAAAATTCGCAATACAGAGTATTACAAGCAGACCACCCATATTAATCAATGCACCCTCAGTTTCTGGACGTACAATGTCCCCACAATGAGATCCAACTGGAAGAAAGAAAGTTTTGGGATTTTACAATATGTATACATATGTACATATATGTATATATGTGCTGATGCTCCATCTACAAAACGTAAAAAAGCGCATAAAAATTAAAAGAACTGCAAGTGACCATTTTTTAACGTAGACACAGTAGGTACATACACATTTATAAGGTGGGAAGTATTGTTTATTCTGTATAATTTACTCACTGAATTTTTTCACATACATCTTTCTACTGTGTAATCCACTGAACTACAACTTTCGTTATAAGTATTCATACCTAAAACTCTCCGTGTATATTTTGTAGTTGTAGATCAATGTAAAATTATCGAGAAAATGTGAATCTAAATCAGTTTCATGGTATTACAAGAAAAACATATAAAAGTTGGAAATGCGTATCCGGTTATTGACACAAGGGTGAAGGAGTCTGGGTAATCCAAAGTATTCATGTACAACAGATCCGCGTGCAGACGATTACCCGAGGATCCTTCATTACGAAGACGGTGGCTATGAACAAATTTCAATAGATGCGTAGCCCTCGTGCTGTCTATATCACCACGCGACACGTCGGATTCCGTTGAAATCCCGAGGCCCCGTGTTTGCAAACTTGGATTTCCGTGCGGCGACTCCGCCAGGCGCCCTTTGTTGTGTCGACCGTCAAACTCGTCCCGAGGTCGACTAAACAGTGTTTCTTCTCAGTTACCGTCGACGCGTTGTGAAATGTGTGTCGTGTGCCGAGACAACGTTGATAACGTTGGCTACCAAAATTCGTGGCGAAAGACGGACAATTGAAATTCTCGACTGGACGAACGATAATCGTCATCGAATTCCAAGTGGACAATACATGTGTCGTGGTAAGTACGATTTCCTAGCTTTGTTCAAATTCTGTTTTTCTGAAGACTTGTGTAGACTTTGCATTTATTAAATATTGACAATATATTTGTTTATTGTATAATTTCTGTCACTTTTTCATTATTCAGAAAATACACTTTAATCTGTTCAGATATTGTGATATTAAATATATAATTTATTTACATAATTAAATTAATTTCTAATACATATTTCTTATGTGTCAAAATATTTGCAGACGCTTAATATTAATTTGCTACGTATGAAATGTTGTCTGTGATCAAACTTCCAAGAATTTTGTAATTTGCTGAATGATTTATTAGCAAATAATTTAAATAATCGGTGAAAGTACTATACTACAAAAGGATCACGAATACTTTGTGCTTCAGTGCACTCAAATTACAATGAATACTATTTTTCATTAGTATACAATAAGAACAATAAACAAATGGACTTTGCCTCCTCTTTTCATTACTGGTAAATGTAATCAGTTAGTGTTTCCTGTTATTTCAAATTTATATAGGAAAATTTATAATTAAGTATTGTTCATTTCAATATTAGACTGTCAGTCGTTATACAAAGTTAGTCATTTTTCTATGTAATCTCCAGCAGAAGGTATTAAAATGAAATCTATTTCATAACTCAAGGATCTTATTAAATTACAAATAAATCGAGTAACACTCTTTAAGTTGTTTTAATTTTATTTTATCATATTACATACAAACAATTACGTTATAAACGCACACCAGCATCGACTGAATAATAACTCTTTATTTATTTCATTGATAATTTACATCAATTATCAAATGATTATTTATTTATTTATTTATTTACTAAATCGTAATGATTGTAATATTATACAATAAAGGTCCTTTCAGTCGACGGTACGTTGCAGCAAATAAAAATGAGAGTGAAAACAGTTCCACGACAGCGAATAATTCATGGTTATAAAATCGTTGAACCTGTGTCCGAAATTATTGTCGAGAAATTGGAACGCTCTACAAAGAACGGCAGGAAGAAGGGAACGAAGGACGCGGAAGATGCATTTGATGCGTCGAACGACGGCAAAGGGGGCAGTTCGAAAGCGAAACATTCGGATAGTCGTGATATAAGCGAAAATAAAAAGAAGGAAGCGGTGAATTATTCTACGGAAGCAGTGGACATGACGATTAAACACGAGGTACGCCGTCTGACAGCTTGGAGTGTTAGTCGCGTAAACTATTCACACTAATTCACGCACGAAATCTGGTGACACGACTCTCAAGATCGCGGCGAGAATGTAAACAGATATGACGGTGTGTCATTCACGTGAATTTATCGGGTCATTGTAGTCTGTCATTGAATCTATCGATTATAAGGGTTCGAAAGTAGTTGCAAAAGGAATTGGAAAAATTTAATGCTTTTCGTTTAAATGTACAATTAAGCTTAAGGTTTTCAGGGCGTCAATTTAAACAAATTTTGCTATTTCCTTGCAGCAAGTTCTATTTAACATTTTATAATAGCTTCATTGAGTTAACTATCCAAATTTTTAGACAAAAGATTTTAACTAAGATAAACTATATTTTATTAAACCCATAAAGTTTTTGTAATTTAGTCATTCGTTTGAGAGTAATAGTAATTTAAGAAAAATATCCTGCATTGAAGTTCCTTTTCATATTTATTCTATCCATGTGAAACAAGGTTAAATCTAAACAGCTGCTCGGAAGTTTGAAACATCCTTTAGTCCTCAAGAAAAACTTCCATTTTAAAGAATATTTATGATACGATTGTAACTTGCATCTTAAGATATACATATGCAAGTACTGAAAAAATATTCAATTACACAATAATGTAAATACGTGAGTACTAAAGAGCTCGAGTCACTTAAAGGACGAATGGTGCTTTTTAAACATTTGAACGTTAATAAAGTACATGAGTACTACTTGGTAATAAACTAAAATTACGATAAAATACTGAGTTTTAATTAAACAGTTTTCAAAAGTTTACAATTTGTTTAGCTTATCCACAAAAAACTATTTGAACAATATGTACATACTTTTTGTCGCTCTCAATCTTAGATTCTCATTTCTAATTTTTCAGACTGATTCGTCGCAGAAAGATTTATTGAATCGACGCTCGATGGCTGGTCCATCGAGTTCCGAATATGCTGACCTACACTTGAAGGAGGAGACGAAGGAAACGATTTCCAACGACGACAACAATAATGTACTGTATAACACTTGTACACAACATCAAAAATGTCTGGTAGAAAATTTATACGTATAGTGTGTTAGCCCTCAGAAACTACACCGTGTCTCAACATACGTAAACACCACACTAGTGCGAATTGGGATTTTTAATTTTTTATGCATACGAATTTGAAGAGAATACAAACAAATTCAACTCGTAACATATTTTTGAAAGTAAAATTTTCTCAGAAACTCAATGGTAATAGTTGTAAAAGTGAGAAATAATTTTTGAACAATGAAAATTTGTTGTAAAGAAATGGTAAATTTCAAAACGAGCAGATTAAACAATGTTCCGCTTGTGCAAATTCGCACTAGTATGATGTTTGATGGTTAAATTAGACAAAGATCATTCAAAAGCCCGGTTATGCCGGAAAATGCTTTATAAGAGGCTATAACTGCTAAAATACAAAGAGTGGCAGAAAAATACAAACAATGTGTGGCTAAAATAAAACTTGCAATAAATGTAAATTAAACATTGACGAGGGAAGTTATCCAGTGTTAAATTAGGTTTGAAAAAATAGTGGTTTATAAGAGTCGACCTCCTGAGGACTGGAATTAGTGTCATTCACCCAGGAATATCAACCAAAAAAATGACGTCAAATTTCTTCATAAGCAGCTGTGAAAGTGGATACAATTTCTTTTCATAATTTTATGACTTTTTAGATTCTTTTGGATACATACAAATAAAATAACCGAAAAAGAACCAAAAAGACTAATATGAAATTTTTGTTTACTTTGATCAAAATGCCCACGCTGTTCATCGGGCAACCTTTCATGATCTTCTGTGCCGCCAGACTGCTAAACTGGACTGTATGTCCCTTAATCTCGGAAAATGAACTGACCTAATATTGCTGTTTTTTTATTTCTTTTGCAGATATTTTATTTACATGTATTCAAAAAACCTAAAAAGTTAAAATCACAAGATGGAATTATATACAAATATAAAATTATTTATATCTCCTTTTAAAACTGCTTATGAAGGTGTTTCACGCCACTTTTCCGGCTAATACTGAGTATTCCAGACGAGTAACACTTATGTCAGTTTTTAGGAGGTTGAGTCCTATAATTTTTAATCATTATTTTTTCAAACCTAATTTAACATCTAGGTAGGGGAGCCCGTGGTTGAAAGTAACAGTTTTTGGTTTTCATGAAATAAAAAGGTCTATACTTTGGCTAGAGATTTAACGTTAATTTGTACGGATAGGTTGGAGATTCAAGATTAGTTCCATATCGATGAAATGTCTTTAAAGTAATTGTTAAAAATATTATGACCGGGAATGTTGACCAAGCCAGGTTGTTACTTGTTGCCCCAGCTTAGGGTTGAAAGTAACAACGCTGGGGTAAGTTGTAACACGACTAGAGTAAGTAGAAATCTGCACAAACAACATAACATTTTATTTCTCTATAGAATTAACTCAACATAACATAAATTGTCTTCTTTTAATTAGCTTAACGTAACGGTATTTTCTTAATGAGATCAATCATTGACGCAACTGAAAGATATATTATTTTAATCGTCGCCCGAAGATTCATCCGAATAGCAGTTGGAACACACAAAACGAGTCTTATTAGATATTTTAATCCAACGCTTATGTGCCCAGTTCAGGCACATTTGACATTAGATCCATTCTTCACCTGGCTTGCTTGCAACGTTGCTTCGTAACAAACTATACATAAGCAACTTAGGTCATTGTCGCAGTCTCTATTGTATTCATCTTCTTGTAAAACTTTCCTTTTTCCCTTTTCTTTGCATTTTCCTTTGATAGTCATTTGATTTTCTTTTTCAACTCTTCTCTTGAATCCTTTTTTTGTCCGCTGTTATAATTCCAAAGCATTTTTTTCCGGAGTATCCGTTAATATGGCTGCTTTCCTTACTCTCCGCCGAGTACGAGTTTTTCCTTTCACTGTTGCTTTAGGAAAAGGTCTAACAACTTCAAGAGAAAAAGCTGCAGTAGTGTTTGGTACATTTTGGACTGTCTTTTCAATATTTCTTAGTGATGGGCCAGGAGTGGCGTTATTCGCTTGACCGATATGGACACTCATGCCATTATCGGCCGCATTATCTGGCGCTGCATCATTATCATTGCCGCTATTATTTCTCGGCAGTTGCAGGTCATCAGCTGAAGACATAGGTAAATCGGTGACAAAAGACGGTACGAAGTCAGTTTCATTGAAAACATTTGGGTTGAAAGGGTAGATTCCACTCTTTTTGTAAATCCACCCTGAATATTTACTGGAGTAGCTGCAAAGGGCCATGCCTTCTTTACTATGCCTGGTAGATCATAACTTGACATAGTTTTTCCAGGATTGTTTCTCATCGAATTATGTTGGGCTTGAGCGCAATAATTCTTAAAAGGTGCATTTACACTAACATCTAGAGGTTGTAATTTATGTGTAGTGCGCGGTGGAAAAGAAAGCAGAATTATGTTGTTATCTATAGTGTTGGGGCAAGTTGTAACATATTACAATTTGTCCCGACGGTGTGTTACTTTTAACCCCAAAACACGATATATCTCCAAGTTAAGCATTTATATGACAAACGTTTAAAATATACTAAAACGAGGACACATATATGTTCCCCGATTGACGCTTAAGATTATGACATGTAGTAAGTGCTAATAAAGCATAAGGTTTACAAACGAGACCAAAAAATTAATATGCAGAAATACTTACTCACATGATGCCCAGTTACCTCATATACAATACCCGTGAAGTGAGGGGCACGATTCGCAATTGTCATGACGGCAGAGCAACAGTGCGGGGCCAGGATTAATCCTGCGTTGGTATCATAGCCCTACCTTTTTTCTTTGCAAAGATATAAGCCCTGTTACAACTTACCTCTGTTACTTTCAACCCTGGTCTCCCCTACCTCTCTTTGGAAGAGTCTTTCAAATTAATCCTTTAGTGATAATATGCGCTGGGTCTAACGTTCTTGACACCTACGGTAACATCTTTAGATGTCCTTTCTTCCGAATCTGTTGAGTTCCTCCGCCTCAATCACCATAATTACGTGGGTTAATAAATAGAAGTACGAAGAATTTTATTTTCTTCTGAACATTGGTCTCGACACTTTCTTTGGGTTGGTAACAGACGATTAATATTTATAAAAAAGGTACTACGACATTAACAGAAAAACTCAGGACAAAATGTTCTAAATTTATCTGAAGTACATTACGATGATACTACGATGCACAGTTCTCAATTCAGGAATGTCTTTCTTGTAAAAAAGTTCTTATAGCATTTCATTCTTCTTATTTCTTGTGATTTTCTATTACCTAGAATCAAAAGGACGCTAACCGGGGAAACATATGCTGATATAGACTCAATTAAAGCAAATGCGACAAAGGAGCTCATTAGATTCTTAAAAAGAGGCCTCCAACGATGTTCCAGGAATGACAGACTTATTGAACCAAGTGCATATTATCAGTAGGTGACTACTATGAAGGAAATTGATTATATATTTAGATTATATATTGTAAGACTTATTGTAACTCTCCTTATATAGCACGTTTTATTTCTTCTGTCGCATTAACTTTGTTTATCAAGGAAAATTCTTCAGTAAATCATTTTTAGACATGGTTAGTTTATCCACCCACACATTTCGTTTAACACACTATAAGGTTTTGATCCAATCATTTTCAAACTTAGTGTATGTCTCATCAAGTTTGTGCACCACTAACCCAAAGTATAGAACCATGCTTTACAACGAATGGAAACGTATATTAATGTATAGTTTCCTACAAGTATTCATGACTACTGAAAATTAATAGTGTGCAAAGATATAAATGGAGCGCACAAAAAAGATAAAAATTTAAATAGAACGTCCTTAGCCTGTTAGGAAACATGTCAGTAAATCTACCTGCATAGTAAGGTCTGCTTTATACATAAAGATATTTGATGATCCATTAGGATAAGCATTTTATTTATTTTCAAGAATGTTTTTTCGTTTATTATATCGTATACAAAAATAAGAAACTATTGACTGAATTATACGACTGAACTACGAGAAAGGAATTAATTGAATTCTGGCGTTAAACGGTACAATTATAGAACATCTGTACAAGTTTTATCTTAATCACTTTTATTCAACTTTTGTAGTACCGCATTTACCGGTATCATTAATTGTAATTTCTTGTCCTATGCTGCTTATCAGTCGCGCGTAACCTAACTTAAAAAAAATATTTCAGATTCTAACGCCAAGAGCAGCGTGTTGCTGCTCTTTAGCTGGCCCATCCAATATCGATCGTTCAAAAACCTGTAAAGAGGAATCCGAGTCCTCCGTCCAGGACGACGATAGCCCAGCCGAAGCTGTTAATCTTTGCAAAAAGGATCATCAAGACGAAGACGGATTGACTCCTGGCGGAGTAACTGACGGAAAACTGAAGGACACCTTTCTTTATAAGATCATGACGGATCCGATGTTTCTGGAGAACATACAGAAGCATAAGCAACCCAGAAAGTATCCGTGCCAGTTTTGCAAGCAAGAATTTTTAAATGTCGACGAGTTAGCAGATCACATGGACGTAAAGAAGGACAAGTCTAACCAGGTGATCTGCTGCGCCTGCAAGAAAACTTTTGCGCAGAAACGGTACCTCAGGTACCATCAGAGGTGTCATTCCGAGAGGACCAAGTACACCTGCGACATTTGCACCAAAAAATACACGAGGCTTGACAACTTGACCAGGCATAACGCGTTTCACGTGAACCCAGACAAGTTCTCGTGTTCCTACTGCGAGAAAACCTTCGCGAGAAAAGACCTGCTGAACAAACACTTGAAGTGCCACGACAACAAGTATCGGTTCTTCTGCGAGGTGTGCCACAAGTACTTCAAAGGCCCACTCACGCTAGACAATCATAAGAGGATCTTCCACTCGGTTTAGTAATGCTTCGAAAATCAGCCACTCTTATACCTGGATAATTGCTCGCTCTGGATCCTTTCGATCGTACCGTTTAATCAATAAGCGAAGTATATCTTTCATGCCCAGATAGCACATGACGCCTTCAAGACGTCCATTTCACGGCTATTTTAGGTTTTAGGCGCCTTTATTCCGTCTTGAAGACGTCATTATGCGTCATGTGCTATCTGAGTGATCTCACGAAGAATGGCCTTTAATGTAAATCCTGAAGATGACAGATTCGTTCCCCCTTATTTTATTAATAGAAAAGTACTTTCCTTATCTTGGTTTAAACATAATAGATGCAATGGTTATTAATTTTACAGTAACTGCATTTTTTAAGATTTGAGGTTATGTCACTCGCTATATGGCGAACTTAGTTTTGATCGTCACTTGACAAAATAAGAAATGAATAACGCTTTGGTATTTCATACCGAGTAACAACTTGCAATAAAGAAATAATCGATTAAAGCAAGAACGAAGTTAATTCTGAATGTACTTCTATTCGCAATGCAGGTTTAATTAAGACTTAAAATAATATATACTTTTAAATCAACAAACTGTATATTCTTATAATTAAATCTTAAAGTAGTCCGGGAAACATCAAGGCAATTTTCACCAAGAGTGTCTTATCAATTTACGGATATAATTTTCGACGAAAGACGATGAAATATAAAAACTTCTTCATTTTGAAACGTTTGAAACCATTTAAGAAGCGCCACACTCATCATCCGATGGCAAAAACCCTAGACATCAAAATTAAAATAAGGGAGCAATTTTGGAAGCATTACTATACTTGCAAGAAAACATAGATCGTCAGGATGATGTGAAGTAAAAGTTCATACAAGACTATTTGATTTATTTGATGTACTCGTGATTAGACATCGACAATTTCCAATGACCCATTTTATAATTCATTGATAATGAAGTGTCTGTCCAAACGTAGTGCATGTAGTTCTCAGTACACGCAATGCAACGAATACACGAACTTTTAAAGAAAATATCTTGCCGTTATGTTACATTTTTCAAGAACATCGAATCAAAGGAAGGTCTCATTGAACCGCTGTTTAAACAGAGAACCACGAAGCCGTTGCAGCCACGCGACGCATTCGGCGAGAGAAACAAAAAGAAAAGAAAAAGAAACCGGGGAAAACACTACAAGAAAACTCTTTTACCCCGAATGCCTCGTGTGGTCTCGAGAACTTTCTCTCTTTTTCCTCTTTCCTTCCCCGATTCGTTTCTCGGCAAGTCCTCCTCTTTCCCCCGCCCTTCCAGAGGTCTAAAACATAATCCGTTTCTTCCGTTCTGCCTCTCACCCCCGGCCACTTCGCGAAAAAAGCGAGCACTCTCTTTGTTTCGGCTCAAAGGGTACAGCGGCGCCGCAATAAGGAGCACTTTGAAAATCCGACGTATTACCCTGGCACATCCAATCGCGAAATAGAACAACCATGAAGGTTGACCCGCGTCCCTTTCCCTTCCATTTTCGCTTTTACCCCCCACCCTGACTTCTTATTTTTTCTTGACAGCCTTCTTCCATTTCTCCCCCACCTCCACCCATCGACCACCGCACGCTCCCTTCCTCTTTTCCCATTGCTCGTTCTCCCACTCCGGTCTACCAGGGGTTTAATGCAATTAAGTCGAGCGTTAAAATATCGTTCTTAATTCGCCGGCGGCACCTTTTGTTTCCTCTGTGGTTTAACGCGAGCTGCTCACGGTGGTTCGTCGTTCCCGCCACGCTTTTCGGCTCTCTCTCACGTACTCCCTCCTGTTTTTCAAGTGCAGTACGTTTTCACCCACAAGAAGCACACGTACGTCAGCCATACACGTCACAAGATAAAACATTCCTTTCAGTGGTTTTAATTATTTCTGTCGAGTCGTGTTGTTTCTTATTGCAAACTTAACTGTGATTCTTTAGTTGTTCTTGGTCCTTTACAATGATGATAACTTGTCAACCAGGTGTACCTCAGTACTAACAATTAACATGTTAATACTTCATTTTCTTTAACCCATTAAGACCTGAATTATGCTTTCGTTATTTTTTTACCACAATTTTTATTTCAGATACTTGAAAGCTGTTCAAATGTTTTTTCAATTGTTTTATTCTTTGTGTTTTTTTGTTCAAATAGCTAAATGTGGTGCTATGATTGTCCAGCTACTCAAGTACCTACTTGATAGAAAATTCCCAAATCGTTGAGGTGGAAATAATGTCCATACATTTTGGTCGGTACGTTAGACTTTTTTCTTTGGAGAAGTGATCTTAGAATTTCATCACCTTTTTGGTGTTCAAGGTCATCTGCAGGTCATAACTTAGGCATTTTCAAATGTATTTTTGCATTTGCTACAAGATATAATAGACAACAGTACATGCTTTGCTACAAAAAAGATACCGGTGGAACGGAAAAACTGACCTTAACAAGATTTTGTTTCCATGGTATTTCCTTTTCGAAATCATTGAAATTGTGCTGTAAGTGTTTCTCATATTTGTAAAAAGAAGAGCACTAGCATTGTCTAGTACGGGTCACGTGTGACCCCGCTATTAGCTTTCACGATCCGTCATACGAAGGTTATAGTTTTCAACGAAGGGTATATCGAGACATCATGTTAATAGGTGCTTACTTCATCATTTGTTAACCAGATATGATTGTAGTTATTGAAGAATCTGTAGAAATGTGAGATGCAAGAGAGCAATAACGTGTGTGGGATTATGATGCATATATTTAGAGATTACAGGTGAGTGATTATTAATTTCTCAACAACTAATTATGGAAAAACAGGTAAACTCATAAGATTCTATGCTGAGTGTACTATTCTAGAACTGTGTTATAGCTCAAATGTCAATTATGAACGTCGCTGGCTTAGAATGTGTCAACTATAGAGACGCTACAATGCCCAATTTATATCTAGAAATGTTCTTTATAAAATGTGAGACAGTTTGTGTATGTTATGAAATGAAACAAGTACATACTTACCCTTTCTGTTTCACAGGATATGCATATCGCACAGTATGGTAAACATTTATCAAACCGATGAAGAATTTTAAACTTTTTTTTTTGTCTTGTGAAATATGGCGTATTAATTCTGGCGTTCTGGCTATAAATAAAAAAACCAGTGAAAATTGGTGTTGATAAAATGTATAAAAATGTGTAAGTGGATCTATAAGTCTAGAGGACAAATAGAATGTTTAGAATACAATATACGTAAAGATATACAAGAGTTTACAAAAACTTATAGTAACTATACAGAAAGCTTAACCAAACTCAACGAAAGGTCCACAAGACTATACAAAGATTTACAAAAATATGCAAGAAGATTTACAAAAAATTACCAAAATATTCAGAAAGTTAACAATTTTATATAAAGATATGCGAAAATAATATATTTAGTAGTCTATAATAATAAATCTACGCATACAATTTTTTACCGCTTTATATCACTCGGTATTTTCGAATTTGAACGATAACCAAACCATGTCAGAAACGTCCACTCTGCTTCCCGTTCGCCATTCATTCCACGCTCCGATCACTCCTTTCGTTGTGTTCCGGCGCAAGTAAAGGACTTTCGACAGCTTTTCCTCCGGCAGTACGAGAAAAGAACGGCATAAACGGCGAAGAAAAACACAGCAAAGGGTCAGGAACTCCTCGAGCTTTCCTGGTCCTTCTCTCTTTCGTTGGCGCCTCTTTTCCAGTCTCTTACCGCGTTCAACCGCCGTCCCTTTGATCCACTTATTCGGCCAGCATGTATCGTGGACCCGGACCAAAAATGTAACAAAGTTTCCGTGAATGTCCTGGCACGAATGCCAGCAGGGATTTTGTGGTCCCTTTGCCGCCCGTCGAACACTGTTCTTCCTTTGCGCTTTTGACCACTGTCGTTCTTTTGACATTATTACGCTTCCACGCGGGATTCTTGAATATTCATCAGGAATTCAGCGATTTACGGAATCGCGTTTGAGAAATTCTTCAGAATTTTCCTGGACTAAACAAATATTAGATGAGACAAATAGGAACGTCTGCAGTGTGTCAGGTTTTTTTGAATTTAATTGTGAATTGTAAGATGAAAGGAGATTCAAAGTTGACTATCCGAATTACATACTTTAACCCTTAACTGGTCAGATGTAAATTTTATTACTTGTTACAGAAATAATTATTTTGCATTGTTATCTAGGAAAACATCGAAATGAACAAGCATCTCTTCAAGTAACTATTGAATAAAAATAACATACAGCCTTGACCAAAATGTATTGGGCACTTTTATTACTCCTGCTTGCTGCAAAAAATATTTCCTTAAAACCTTCCTATAGTTAATCATTCTTTGTCAGGCAGTTCAAAAGAAGTTTAAAACATTTGACAAGGGTTATAGTGGTCCATAAAGCAACTGAGCGGTCCATAGTCTACATTTTGTGTTTTTTCCTAAAAGTTACAGTCCAAATGAACTTGTACTTAATTTTTGCTGTAAATATTTTGAACTTGTGGACTGAGTGTCCTACACCGCAAGTTAATACTTTTTTTTAAACAACAGGGTAAAAGTCAGAAAGAAATTACTGTGATTGTCAGTCATTAGGATGGCACAACCAAATATGGACGAAATTAGTAAAAAATGATTCTTCTCACATTTCAATAGTTTGATTTCTTCCTAATACAAAAATATTTTTTTCAAATTCATATTTTATAGGGTGCCTAATACTTTTAGCCAAAGCTGTATTCTAAAACCATTCATAAAGTTTTTCAAATTCATATTTTATAGGGTGCCTAATACTTTTAGCCAAAACTGTATTCTAAAACCATTCATAAAGTTTTTCAAACTCCACCTTACTAGATAATGACTAATCTGTATCCACGTTCCGTAATTTATTGCACTATCCCTTGTAAAAAATATTGAAACAAATGGATATTTGTATATACGTAGCATGTAGGTAGTGACTATTTTTAATAAGTTTCATTCATAAGAATAATATTGAAATATGTTAATGCAGAGGTAATAAATTCTAGCAATACTGCAATACGTAATGTCA